GTCCCCTCAAATAGCGAAGCTGGGAGAGACAGGACAGAGGACTCATCTTACAGCCAGTCCAAAATCCTCCCGACTCCTCCCCTTCAGCTCAAAGCAAGAAACAGTTTATGACACTGCAAAAATCCTCTCTGACATTCAAGGACTCTGGCTAAGCTCCACCATGGCCTCTTGCTGTCCTCCCCAAGGAGAGGGACCCATGTGGGTAGATCTGAAGTTGGATCCATCCCAATTCCTGTTTCTGTTCAAGCAGCCCATACATATCTTCCTCAGTCCCATAACTAGCATGGCCAGGACAACCTCTACCAGCTGTGTCCACACAACCAGGCAGGGAGCACTATCATTTTTGCCCTTCCTCGAAGTGTCTTTTTAAATGGCCAGACTGGTAGACATTCACAGTTTGCAAAGTGAGAAAGATCTCGCAGTCCAACTTCGACTCCAGCACAGCTGGAGTCAGCACATGCAGAAACAGCCTTACAGGAAAGGAAAAAGACAAATAGCCTGTACGTTACAGCTCTTTCTGCACAGATAGCCTTTCTCAGAGCCAGGCAATGCTGCAGGACTTGAGAGATAAGGAGGAAGTTGTGCTACACATACATCACATACTGTAATTGCACAGAGCTGGGAAGACAAACAGCACTCAGCATGACAATGAGCAACTATCAGCAGAGGAGTTGGGGCATTAGAGAGAATTCATTGTTTCAGTCTGTTCCCCCAGTCACTGAAGCAAGACCACTTCATAAAAATTAACTTAAAAAGGAAAAAAGTCAGCTTGTCCCTCAAGTCAGCTTAAGCTCTTAGAAAGACCCAGAAACAGGGTGGGGTTTTGGTCACATCAGAGTTGGACACTGCTGGGGAAAAGCTGTATCTGAACCAAAGGCAAGTCCTGGTGCCTGAACTGTCTTGTTTCTAGGGAGGAGAAATCTCCCCTCTCCTGCAAGAGAGGAGAGCAAGGAGGGATGGATCTTGCCAGAGCTTACGAAGCACTTTGAGCTCCTCTCATGAAAGGTGCTAAAAAGGTCCCTTACCTCCACCCTCACACAGGCTCTGCAGGAAGTGGACCTCAACATATTTCCTATAGAAATATTTCCAGCCCTTCTTAAACGCTAGCAAAACATTAACAAAGGAAAAGCCACTTTCTCCAAGTGTGGCAAGCTGGGTTTGAGAAAAATCAGCAGAACGCAAATAGCCGTCGCAGAACTGCCATGCTACCCTGGATTGCCGTAGGATGAGCTGAGACTTTGGGATCTGCAGTGCCAACAGTTAAATGAGACTCCTTTCAATCTGATCATCCCAACCTCTTCGCTATTTTGGTTTCTGTAGTCTGCAGCACACTCATAACTGAGAGATTCTTCCCACCTAGCCACAAAGCCCTGATAGGAGGGGGGAAAAAAAAAAAAAAGGAAAAAACCACATGCACACACACAATTCTGAATTATTATGCTATTTGTTTTTCATTCTTGGTGCCTAAACAGCAGTGAATTGCAATTAGTCTGACCTGGAAATCTATTATAACTGCAAGTTACTTCTCTCAAATATAAAAACTGAACAGAGCCAGCTCTGATATTTCAAGCCAGGAGAGCAAGGCAACAGATCAAGCCTTTAAGGAAGGTGCAGAGGCCCACTGCTGGAAATCTCACTTTAATGGGTTGCTACAGTAATAACACAAACAGCAAGTGACTTGAAAAACACCTTCAGCATTTGCATTGCTTAACTATTGCTAGTAAGGAGCGCTTCTGACTTAGGCATGAAGTTCAAGGCTAACGTAACACTCAAATTACAGTTTGAAGGGAGGAAAAACAAATGTCATTTTAATCAAAGGAAAAGTAAAATCAGAGTTACTATTACTGTAACAGTGAGGACGCTAGTTGCAGACTGGAGCTACATTGAGCAAGGTGCTGTGCAAGTTGAAAGCAACGTACAAGGCAAGAACACCTTGCTGCCTTTGTGCTACGCAGGGCTTGGCTGCCTTAGTTGGATTATTTTCCTTATCTTATCTTAAGAAAAGGCACTATTTTGTTTTAGGTAGGGTTTTACTTCCTTTGTCTTTTTTTTATTTTAAATCAAAAACTAGGTTTTTTCTTAGAGGCAAAGAGACTCTTTGGCCTTTCAGTGGTCTGAAATAGTTTTGCTACCCAAGGAATAGAGAAAAGTTTGAAAGCTGCAATCATTATGCAGGCAGGGGGAAGAGACATCTAATGGGAGGACTCTGAAGCTGTGCCAATATCCACAGTGGGACAAGTTTTACATTACACAGTGAAATTTCAAGTAAGCTCCAAGCTTTAAACAAACAGTCTTGCTCCCTTCAGGCCCAGTAAGTTGATTTCAGTGTGAATTATATCAAACGCCTAAATCCATTTCCAGTTATTCTGTTCAAGACCTCTTCACATTCAGTCAAGACTTGCCTTGGTCTCCCATGAAGACGACTTCATGAACCTCATGGCTTCCCTCAGGTATTTTATTATCTGAAGCCCATAACAGATGTTTACTGGATCCAAATGCAGCTAAATGCACTCAGAGCCAGCTCAGCAGACGTGGGCTTGCAGATAGTCAATTTTCCTCCAGCAGAATCAGGATATCTCCATCTTGGGATTCCCCAATTCAAACTATTACCTAGCCCCTCTGATAGGGGGAAAAACTCAGTTTCAAGCTCTTTGTTCCAGGCAAATAACATAATAAAAAGATTTAGAGGAATCCAAGCAGGAAGGAAGAAGAGAAAAGAGTTTTTTTCTTTTTTGGTAAAATAAAATCAGAAAGTGTCACTTCATTAACAAAAAAAACAACAAACTCTGACCAGCTCCAAGGCAGAAATGAGTTTAAACAATGCCCAGCAGAGCAATACTGCAGCTCCCTGCCCCAGGACACCCCTAAATTTACTCCCTGCTGGTAACCAGTAGGTGTTCACCATGTCTGGGACTTCCCCGGTTCTCCCACAAGCCCACCCCATCTTCCCCATGATGGGTACTGCATACCCACAGCCCTCCATCTGCTCCAGAGGTTTGGGGGCTGCAAGAGAGCCCTGGTCAATTTTACAAGCCTGTTGAGACAGAGTTGAGAGCATTGTTAAAATTAGCATTTTCTTTGCTTCTCCCTGTCTAAACCTTCATCCCAGCCTCCAGCTCAGGAAGTCCTGAGCAGGGAGGAGGATCTGCTCTTACACAGACACACACTGTTTTTAAACCAGCAGGCACAGTACTCCCACTTTCTCCTACTTTCACTTTTGCTTGTGCAAACTAACTTGTCTGGAAGGCACCTGCTCCTGCTCTCATTTCAGAGAGGAGCTGCGGTTTTGAACTGAATCCTCCTCAGCACTGAGCACCTCCCGGCTGCTCTCTGCCTGGGAGAGGCAAAGCTGTAGGGAGAAGTGGTCTCTTTTGCACCAAATGATACCATTGGAAGCAAGAATCACGTTAAGATCGCAAGCCCTTCTGAAATCTCAAAACGTGCAAGGCTAGAGGCTTGCCTGGTTTCTCCAGTGAACTAGCCTGGATAGCAAGAGACATTATTCCTTCTTATAAGCCTTACCTTACTTTTATCCTGAACTTAGCAGCTTTCTCATGTTGTTGTTGCAGTTATCTTTGAATTACTGTCTGTTAATCATTCTCCTACTAGCTCCTACCCACTTTAATCCCAAATAACCCCAAGAAACCAAAGGACTTGTTTGCAAATCACCAAAGCTTGGTCCCTTTGAGGATAAAGCCACTGCATTGTGAGAAACCACTTTCTTTTAGGACTGGTAGTATTTTACAGGGACTTAGCAGAGTCCTCCATTCCTCTCAACACTCAATAGCCCTTCTTCCTCCAAAAAGGAAGCAGCATCTTATTTTTGAGTGCTTGGATAGTGCATCTGTCCTACATTCTCTCTAGGAGCACAGGAAGCTTCCTCAAGCTTTCCTCCACTTTCAGCTCTTCCATCTGTTATGGTTTCCCCCAAACAATGCTAGCATCAATTACAAAGTGGTGTAAATCCACAGTCACTGAAGCCTTTAGCATTGCTCTGGATTTAAACCACTTCAGATAAACTTCCATATATTCACTGTGCAAACACCAACTTCCTGCTGCTGCAATATCAGCACACCAGACACCAGCCATTACTTACAGCATGTTAGGTAATCCTACATTTCCAAATGCAGATGCCCAAAGCTAGATATCCCTATCCCAGCTTTGCTGCACTGATATTTGCTTCTCACACCCCTCTCCCCCAAGCATTCTGGTTGTTCACGTCTGCCTTGGATTTCAAAGCAAGCCAGGACCACTCAAAACAAATCAAGTTACCTACACAGATATCAATATAAGATCCACCCTACTTTACTCCTTACATCCCATCCCTTTGGGACCTGAGCACTAAAACTGGCAGAGGGGTTTTATTGCCATTCACCACTTAACATGCTTTTAAACGACAGCACAGTGCAGCTACATGCATGGCAAGCACAAGCTTGTGATCAGCTGCCAGCAGGGACCAGCATGGTGGACTGCAGTTCAGCTGATAAGACCCTGAGGAACATGCAGCAAACAGCAAAGAATTGCTCTCAACTGTTTGAGCTCCAGCATCTTCTTTGTAGGACTCACTTGGAAAACAAAGTGAGGTGGGAGGAACAGCTTTCATTTCCCCCAACTGATAACACTCATGATATTTCAGTGCCAAAAAATGCTCCAGAGCAGAAAAAGAACAAAAAAAAAAGTTTTGCATGATCTCTAGCAAAACTTCTTGTTTATACAGAAGCTGCTTTACTCCCACTACTTTATAGACACACCAAAGCCCCCAAACACCTGCAAAGCCCAGCCCACATCAGCAATCCTAACCCTCACCCTTTGGCAACTTTCATTAACACTTTCCTGCGGCTAAGGAAACTTTTACTCCCCTAGACTCCACGTGGCAGATTGCACAGGAGCTGGGCTCACCCCCAGTGCAAACTCCAGCACCAGCTCAGCTCCTTCACCGGAACAAGTTACCTCTGCACCCAGCAGTTACAGAGCACCCAAGCACCCCGGTGCAGACCTACCACCAGAATCAGTGTCCCCAGGCACTCGGCCAGCGCTTGCCGGACTAGCTTATTTCTGATTCTCAGGTGCTCCTCGATAGTAGCAAGAACATCCTTTTGCCTCCCCATTGCAGTAAAGGCGTTTCTCAAGATCTGTCAGGGAAAAGAAGCAGCTGGCAAAAACTCAGCAAGAGTTCTCCCCTAGCACAGCTGCCTTTGCTTATAAATAAGTTCAGCGATGCCTGACACACCTCCCGGCTAACCACACCCCTTCCACCCTCCCTTCAAACTCAACTTTCTTTTTTATCCCCTCCTTTTCAAGATAGGACGGAGTCGGTGGTTTTCTTCATTTTTTTGATCGCTCACACAGATGAGCTAAAGATTCAGGAGGTTCAAAAGAAAGTATTTCCTTCAGAGGAGTTAAAAAACAGGGCAAAGATGTCCATGCTTAGCTCCTGCTGTTTTCATCATCTACCAGCTAGAGCACATGGCTGAATCTGCCCCTCTCCAGCCTCGCCTGAGGTCCAAAAAGTTAAATGCATAAACTAGAGTGCATCTAAACCCATTTGTGCTATCACAGTGCCCTGCTTTCAGCTTTCTTTCCCTCCCAGTCTCACTTTAGGATGGCAAAGAGGTTAGCACCCCTGTGCTGATGCAGAGGCTGTAGGTGCTTTCTCAACAAAATAGTGGGGCAGGAGGGGTTTGATTCCCCCACACCTGTACTGTGGGCTGAGGCCAAGGCAAGTCTGATTCCAGTAACCACTCCAGTTAAAACTGTTTTCAGGAAACAAGACCAGACTTCTCCTCAGCTCAGAATTCTGGATCACAATGCTGGACCTAGATCCTAACTGTGGTGTGCCATCACAGCTTCTGTCCCCTTCCCAGGGCTTTGGGAGAGCATTTGCAGCCTAGTCCCTATGAAAGCTGAGAGGAAAAGCCGTGAGAGATCCCTGACTGAGAGCTGATCCCTCCTCACGGGACCTCAACAGGGGACTCATGCGTCATGGCACGAGCAACTTTTTGGAGCCACGTTCTGAACAGAGACCCTGGAAGGGGCCGTTCCTGGGACCACCAACCTGGCCCATTTCACTGAGCCTCACAGGAACCAACCACTGCTCCCCTTTCATCCTCAGTAATGTCATATATCACCCTGGGCCAAATTTATGAGGCTGCCCGAGTGAAAGTCATCCCAGTCTAGCATTTGAGGTGAAAACTCGTAACAGAAGACACATGCCACTTTGGCATCTGGTTTCTATTAAGTAAGTAGTAAAAATTCCCCGGGCTCATCAGGACTTGATGCAGAACAGCAGGGCTCAATTTGCAGGACTGAAAGGGACCCCTTTCCTGGATTTGTTTCCTCACCTCCTCTGCGCAGCCACAAAGGTTTTCCTCTTCCCTGTATTTAACCATCAACTTTCCTGCTAGAAAAGCAGAGCTTTTCAGTGCAGTGATGAATAGACCTTTATTTAGTGCAGAAACTGCAGCCAGACTGAGAAACAGAGTCAGAGATACAGTTAAGAAAGGAATAATGTTTAAGGAATCCGATGTAGGGACATATTTAAGGTCCAAACGTAATTTGAGGAACAGGAAACTTTTCTCATTGCTTTGTGCTTAGATCCAGTCTAGTATCACTGACATCAGCAGAGTCCTCTGAACTCCAGCACGCATTCAGCTGTCCCCACATACACTCGCTATGGCTGCGGTTTATAAACCAGTGGTTGGGACACACATTTTTTTCTCCCCGTCCCTTTCTCTTGCCCTCACGCTCTTGCTACGTGTCACACAAGCCGTGAAAGATCCATAACTACTCCTCTGCCTTGCTTCCTGCGCTTCCCGTCTCTTTTATACTCTGCTCTGTGCTTTTCACCTCAACTTTTTTGGAAGCCATTGCAGCCAGAAATGTCGGGTTTTTTCCTTTTGGTAGTTCTCAAGCTGAGGTCTGTGGGCTTTTTTGCCATTTGTTGAATCGTCACTGTGCAGATGCTGTGTCCTGTAGTTTAGATTTATTTAGATATATTTCCTTCTCTGGTGGTGCCCTGCAGGGTGCAAGCAATAAGATCAGAGAGAGCCCCCTGAGGAGCAAGAGGGACAGGGAGAAATGATCTTCTCCAGATAGGTGGACACATGTCCCCATCACTGTAGCATCTGCTCCCTTTTGGCTTTGAGTAAGAGTCCAGGGTACAGAAATTTCCTCTGTGCTATCCTAGTGAAGTGGTAATAGACCTCCTGGGGAAGGGAGGGGAGATGTTTAGGCTGCCAGGGCGATGATAGAAGATGGGGTAACACTGTATCAAAGTCGGTGCTTGGAAAAGTCTAGACAGGAGCAAGCCTGGAGAACTGGGGTGGGCTGGGCGCTATGTGAGTCACTGCCTGACCCTGAGCAAATCCCTCGCCTTTCCACACCTCAGTTTCTCTATCAGTAAATTGGAGAGAGTGACAATGGATTCCCTTCCTGGGATGTTGTGAGGGTGAATCATCACAGCCCATGATCAGCAACTTACAATGAGCAATAAAGGTTTAAGCAATTGCTTTCACAACAGCCAGCCATGTTATTATCTAGGAAAAAGTTTGGGTAAGGGACAGTGATGCAACTTTGGAAGAAGAGAAAGATCTTTCCAGAAGCAATAATTAATCCAAGTGTGGGTAAGGGCTGAAAGGCCTCGATCGTGGCTCTTCTCTGTGCCAAGGCTGGAATTGTCCCTCCAAACCAAACAGCTGGCAGGATGTGTCCAGGGACATATGATCTAAGCACAAAAGAATTAAATATGTGAGACAACAACAGCTTCTCCAAGAAGCCCATCTACTCCAGTAACTGGTACCCAGGGTGCAGATATCCCTCCTCGTGGCGAGAAGTCCATGCGTCAGTAGCAGTATACAAGAAAGGCTGTAGCAGTAAGACTAACACTAAGGCAGACCCCCAGAGCTGCTGTGCCCTCCTAGCACTCGCTGGACATGGTAAGAAGTCCACCCCTTTAGCGCTGCCTTGCATGGACATTTAAGACAGCTCTTTCACAGCACAAAGGTTTGAAAGAAGGAAATGTGAAAGCTTCTATCACAAGAACTCATGCCTGGCTTCCTGCTGGTGGTGCCAAAACTATTGAAGCCCAAGCAAGGAACTTCTGTGATCAATCACAGCTCGTTTTAAAACATCATACATCAAAGTAGCTGGAGTGAACTACCCCTATCAATCTGCCCAGCACCCAAAAAATCAAGGCACTAGATAGGGAAATCTAACATACTGCTTTAAGGGAAATGCTAGTTGCCCAGAGGAAAGCTCAAAGACAAAAAAGAAGCCTAGCTCAGCAGTGACTGTGCATGGTTTGTTCTGGTGTGCTCATTATACAAATTTCAATCCTTTCTTCCACAGTTAGCATTTTATCCATCAGGCCATTCCCTCTGAATACAGCTGATCCCCAAACCCCAAGTCTATGGAGAACTTACGATAATGTTTGTCACTTTGTCCCCTATTCCTTTCCTTTCTCTCCTGCAGAACCTTGCAGCATGCCACAAAACACTCACTGTGCTTGGCCTATTATTTCTAAACATGATCCAAAACCAGCACCCAGGTTCCAGGTTTCCTGTTTGCATGTCAGCCTTGCCGCTTGGCTCTATCCCTCGTTACTCCACTCTGGGGAGAGGCAAAGTGAAATTCTAAAAGAAGCCAATCCTTGGCTGCTCCCCACCAGCTGTTTTCCTACTGATTCTAATGCCACAAAACAAACCCAGGTTCATAAACTCCCTGGCTTCTGCAAAGTGCTGAATCAGCCTCCAGAAATGTCAATTTCCCTATTAAAAACCAAGTTTACCACAGTCACCAGACTTAAACAGTTGAATAGATAAACTTGGACTGATGGCTTCCACATCTTATCCAAGCCAAATTGATTCACCCATCCCAGAATGCATGGTGCAATCCAATACGGAGAAAAGCATGAATCACACAATCTGTAATGACTCACTCTTTACACAGATGCCTGGGTCACCTGGTGCAAAAGCTGTTATGCCAAGAGTGGTCACTGGGTCAGAGCACAACAGGATTCCCTCCAGTGAAGTTTCCCTTTGGAAGATACTTCTGAGCATCTCCCCCTTTTCATTATCCACTTGACAGAGCATTATGGTGACATATTGGGAAGATTTCCTTAAAAAAAAAAAGGAGCTTGCCTAGCGAGGCAGGGTAGGAAGTGCGTGAGTAGGAAGCTTAGAAGCTTTCTAAACAATTCTAGCTGGAGGGGTTGAGGGTGATGATTTCAACATCGTGTCTTATATCTTAAGATTTGCAGAGGCAGGTGTTCATTTCGTGTCTGGGTCTGCACAGCCCTCAATCCTGAGTTAGAAAATTGGGGAGCTTCCTCCAGGAAACAGTACTAGTCTACACAGCCAAGGGTCAGCTGTATTGATTGTTGATCACATCTGTATTTGAAGAAAATTAAGGTGAAACTGCAGTCCCAATTCAGGCTCCTTGGACATCCAGGAGAGGCCTAAAAGTTGCCAAACTGGGTTTGGACTTTAAATTAAAATCTAATAATGAGAAAATTCCTTAATATCCCTGGAAAACGCTCCGTGTGAAGTCCATTGCTCAGGACCCAGTGGAGCAAAAGCTGACCCAGACATTAGTCTGTACCTTGTGTCATTCTGTAGGATGCCAAAGAGATGGATTCTCCATAGTTATCTTGGGAGATAGGCCCATAACCTGCTCCCACTGGTGATTCCTTGTAACATCTGATTCTACCTTATCCAAAAGTTGGTCCCAATTTACTGGGATGAACCTGTCCCTCATGTATCAATCTTGCAAAGATGCCATTTTCCAGTATGCACAATTGCATACCAGTATAACTACTGTACACTGGAAAAACAACAATTACTCCTGAAGAAATCTTTCTAATAACACATCTGAAAGGAGAACTATTAGGAACAAACCTCCTGAAACAGGGTGTTTGGCAGGAGCTTTTCCCATAAACTACTCTGTGTAGACAGTCATTCCACTGAGAGCTGCAGAGCCAGACATGGTTTGGAGACACTGCTGTTATAGAGCACCACAGCAGGAGAGTTCAAAGACTCTGAAGCCAGAAGACACTGAAATGGGATGAGACTCAGCTAGCCCAAGGTGTGAGTCAGGAGCAATGACAAGAACTTTTCCTACCAGTTGAGGATGTCTCCAGGAGCAGGGAGTGTGCCAACTCTCCCACCTAACCACAGGTAGTCTCGGCACAGAGCACCTATGTCGCAGCACCTATGTCCCCAGGGAGAGAAGCAATCACTTCAAGAACACAATGCATCTAGATGTCATTTTAGATGTCTACTCTGTGTACTCACTTTAGAAGTGTCTGTTTCTCTTCGTGGACTATAAAGGAAGCCTAAAACAACAAGCCCAAGATGGAGACAGCAACACATAGTCAGTGTAACCCCACCCAGGAGGGGTGGGGAGCTGCTCTGAGGAGCTGCAAACCTGCAAAAAAGCAAAGGTATCTGTACCACAGATGGGGTGAAGTATTCCCAATAGGAACAGATAAGCCTTAATACCTTTCCACAGTTTGCAGTGGGGGATCTTTTTACAGTACCACATGCAGTTCAAGTCATCCATGCTCAAGGAAGACACAACAGAAGTGGAAGAGGTGCAAAGAAATATGGGAAGGACAAGGAGGTGAGTAGAGTCCCTCCGCTCCAGTATGGGCTAAAAGTGCTCAAGTAAGGAAATGCAGCAAGCCCAAGGCCAAGAGGGGACATAAGGCTGTCAGTAAGTATAACAGAAAGGAAAAGAACTGTTTGTGTTTGCACAAGGGCAAATAGGGATAAACCAGCCACAGATAACTTTAGGCTGGAGATTAGAAACCATAAAAGCATGGATGTTCTGTAGATATTTTCTTTTCCCATGGGAGATGCAAGGGCAGAAAGTAACAGAGGGTTAAACCTAAAACAGGATAACTTCCAAACAGGACTCATAGGGTTTTCCTGAAGTAGTAACTTTTTTCCCCCATTCCCCATTCTCTGTACCCTGGCCCAACCCCCAAGTCTTGCCTGCCCTCATGTGGTAAGTGAATTATGGCTTTAGGGCTGTCTAAGGGCTTTAACCACCAATGGTTCACCAGGACGCTCCCTAAATCCACTTCTATAAATGCAAAGTGTGCTTACCTATATTTGTCACAAGTGAGAACAGCCTGCCATGCTCTTTGGGACATTCAGTCCTACAGCTGATTTTGTCTGAGCCTGAATCTTGGGGGAATTTCCATCCTGGCCTCCCCCCCACCCCTGAGGGAGCTTACGTACAGAACATCATCCTTAAGCAAACAGGCATTAAGGAACTGCATTGTAATGGGCATTTCTGAGATTCCATAATGAACAGGTATTTGGCATGGACAAGCCACCTCAGGAGAACACCTGTGGCTGTGGACATAACAGGGCTGTAAACAGCAGGGCTGAGCTGTTCAGTGGATGCAACTGCCAAAGTCTGAAGAGACATAAGCACCCACCTCTCACTTCACCAGGGGAGTCCCTCTCCCAGAGAAAGGGAAAATGTCCTTTTTGTGACAGTTCCCATACAGATAGACTTTAGCAGGCATGGGACATGAAGTGGTTTGGGACCATAGCTTTTTAAACCGGATCTAGAGGCTTCAGCAAAGGCTCAGACCTATGGGTGAGGAAAAGCAAATAGCTTGAACGCTGTTCTGATGAAAGCCGCTGTCTCTCTGTCCCTGCTCTTGCATGGAAATATTTTGGGGCTAGACTGACTCTGCAGCTTACCTGGAATGTCCCAAGAGTGAAGAGCCAACATTTCCTTAGAAGAATGTCCTGACCTCTTTTTCTTGGCCTGCTCCGACAGAGTGAAAACAGGACTTTACACATGGAAAGCCCTGAAAAGAGACAAGAAACATAAAGACCAAAACAGAATTTAGTAGATATTCAGAATTTCAATCCTAAACTAGAAGCAGTGAAATGTGGCTAATTTTGTGCCCAGAAATACATCTGTTAGTTTCCTTGTGTGGACACAGCAAACCCAAGTCCTAGTTTGCTTCATGACCCAAGGTGAAGGTGGATTTTGTCTTTAGAAACCCCTTGTCAAATCAAGGCAGCTTGTAAAGGCGGAGGTCCTCGGGGTCCTCTGAGCCGAGTCCCCTCCTCAGCTCCTGGGATCCCAAGTAGGCCTGCCTTCCCTGGACCCCTAAACACACACCACTCCAGTAATCCCAGTTTAGAGATCAGGGTATGCCAAAAGCCCTGGCTGAAAGGCAGACTTTTGAGGGGACAGCAGGGTGTGCAGAGCAGCTAGCCCAGAGGCCACAGAAGCCCCACTCCTCCCCTCAGCACGGAGGGCAGGCAGGACCTGGGAAACATTCCTATCCCATCCTGCTGCTGCCAAGACCCACCAGCAGACACTTTCTTATGAGTCACTGGTGCTTTTGCAACCAGCAGGTGGGTTTGCCAGCAGCTCCCGGCTCCAATTGCCCCTTCCTGGGGTCAGAAACCCCCTTGCTCGCTGCAGAGGCAGGGAGACTCCAAGCCATGCTGGCGAGGGCAGGACAAACAGAGCACCAGGAAAGCAGCACCTTGCAGGTGGAGACAAACACAGAGTGTGTTGAAGGGATGGAGAGGGGATCTTCTCCCTCTGCCCATGGAGCGGCTTCATCTCTCCATCCTGGGAGGCACAGGGGACAGCTCCTGACATCCTTGCAGCTCTATAGCTCCCAGCTCCAATGCTCCCTGTAAATCCCAAAAGTGGAGTTCCAGCTGCTCCAAATCCTGTTCACTTCCAGGTTGGAAATGAAGCAACAACAAGGTGACAATACCAACAACAAGTCAGGTAGTTCAAAGACTGGGCTGGCAGCTGCCCCAGGTCTCTCCATCACTCGTGCTTTGCTGCACTATGTGTTTTGGGGGGTGGTAGAAGGCAGGCAATGCTGCCAAAGTACCACAACACCCCCTCTACAGCACTGGTGGGAGCTGGTATCTGGCCACACAACCTGCTTTGGAAGTCACTTCCCAGAAAAATCTACCATTGAAAGTCTGTCATGGGTGGCCAGGGCTTCCCATGCAGTAGCTTTCCATCCTCCAGGGACAGGCAGCATCTCTCTTGCTTTACCTGTTAGCCTACACAAAGATGTACCCATTCTTAAACTCCAGGCACAGGGTATGAAACTCTCCCAGCCCCTACTAGTAGGAGGCATAGGGTCTTGTGTCTCCCTCAGTTCTCGGAGCCCGCCACTCAGACATCAAACCCACCTCTTCCTGCTGGCACACCTTCCACGAAGCCCACAGAGACCTGAATCAGATCTGAGTTGGGCAACGGGAGTCAGCAACTTGTATACCTGTTACTGCACAGTGAGATAAGATCACTTACACTCATCTCGCTCGTGGCTTGGGGAGTACCTGTTGCATGAACCCAGCTGGGGCATCCGTTCAGCCTTGCAAAATCGCTACAAAAAAGCACCAGCCCCAGCTCCACATATGCTCTCCCACCCCTCCCACAATGAATACACTCAGCTGGCAGAAATGATGATGTGCAGATGGAGGGAGTGGGGTTGGCACAGCTGCCGCACCACTCATTCATCCCTCTTCCTGTCCTGCTGCAGTTGGGAGGAAGCAAGGAAAGGGTGGATGGGCAGAGGAAACCCAGTAAGATACCCCAGTGTGGACCGTGGTGAAGGAATAAGATGTGCCAGTAGTTTGTGGGAGGTTTCCCTGAAGGATATGCCATAAAGAATTGGTTCCAGCTGCTGCCAAAGAAATCACAAGAAATTTGAACTGGAGGCTATTATTCTGTATAGGAAGCTTCTTGCACCTGCAGGAGAGCAGAGGTGTGTGTGAGGAGCATGAAAAGCAGCAGTATTCCTCATGCCCCATGCACACAAGGGGGGGGCCATGTCCTAGAGGAAGCACCCTGCCTTGATGCCGGCAGTGTACCAGGAGGAAAATGCAGACGTACACTCAGGCTAAACCATCGGGTGGGTTACTCCAAGTTGGACCAGAGCAAGTCCTGCTGATGGCAGCCTGGGAAACGGGGCCAGGTGCTGGTAAGTCTTCCTGAGAGCCCGTATCTAGAAGGGAATTAATTTTTACTCAGTGAAATGGAATTTCAGCAGAAGCTGGGGAAGCAAGCTGCTCTCTTGACACTAGCACTGATCATTTTCTGCTTGTTCCCATTTACTGTAAGGTGCCGCGGAGATGTTTCTGGAATGTGCAGTGCCCTGAGGATGACTCTGGGCCATGAAACTCTGAACCAGCTCCTGAACCTCCACAGTAAGTGATCATATCTGTCATTATTGCCTCCAGCCACTGAGGCTGTTGAACTCGGGTCGCTGCTCTTTTTTTCATCACTATTCTTTTTGCCATTTGATAAACAGGCAACTTCCCCCCTGTGCCGTTCCTAGGACGATGCATCATTCAATGGATGTGCTCCAAAACAACTAACACCTTAAGATTATGGTTAACTTATATAAGAAGAAACGCTGGACTAAATCCTCCACATGTGTAAACTGGAGCGTCTTCAGTTTTCATCAGCAGATAATCTGGACCCTGTTTGTGCTCTGCAGTGTTCACCTCTGAGCCGCACTCCAGCTGGCTTAAGTTATTTTCAAGCTCTACCCTAGCATACAGAAGAGCCCTTGTCAGTGGTAGGATTACACTTCAGGTAGCTGCTTCCTTTTATGAGAAGGAAGATGCAGGAAAATAGAGACATTATGTGTATACCAAAGCCGAGTTTCCCTGTCTACAGACCTTAGCTGCAATAGAGTTGAAAGACCCCTGCCCAGAGGTCTGTAAGCGCATCCGATATGCTTAGTGCCAGGATTTCCACATATAATAGTGTTCAGGTTCTTCCAGTATCCCAGTCCTAATTCCCCCCTTCAGGACTACAAAAGCCATTGGCATGTAATTTCAAGGGCGAGGCTGCATGTACAGAGCCCAGCCTGTCTGGCCACCTGGACCAGCTCTTGAAAGGCCATGGCAGCAAGAAAGCCATCGCTGCAATGTCTGAGCTTCTTGCCAGCATTATTTATGTAGTAGACATCTACGAGTTGGAGGTTTGCTGGATATTTCAGAGAGGAGGAGAAGAGAATCTTACATGACGGCAGATCAACCCAATTGATACAGGAGTATCTGCACCTGACTTTGACAGGCTGGGTTGGGTGCAGAGCTGTGGAGTCTGGGGTTCGTATTTTCTACAAGGATGTTGAAAAGTTGAAGATGGTGGAGAAAGAGCCAGTAAAAACACCTGAGGGCTGAAGTAAATACCCTTTGCAGGAAGAAACTCAGAGAGTTCAACATGTTCAGCCTTTCAGAGAGAAGATGGAGAGGCAGCTTGATTACAGGGTACAAATATCACTGTCAAGAGAAAATACAAGGTCTTTAATTTCCAACAGAAAGGCACGTCAAACCAAATGCTTTTTAGCTTTGAGCCAGACAAGTTCAAATGGAAGCCCAGGCACAGGGGTTTGCCTTTCTTCAGAGCAAAGCTGGCTAGCACTGTGGGAGAAGAGCTGCAGGCAAGCAAACGAGTGGGCTCCACGGAGAGGTGCCTTGCTGAAACCAGAGGTGTCTCCTGATGGAGAGTGAGGAAGCAAGTGCAAGCAGCCAGAGGATTTTTCTAACTCTCCATTTTCACTATGGGTGCTGTTGCTCCAGAGCGTGCTCCATCATGCCTCCCTCTGAAAGGAATATACACTTCAGTGGCAAGAGAGAGATGCAAGCAGAAGTGATTTGCTAGCCTGAGGCTCAGTGGAGCTGCTCCTTCTCTTTTGCTGTCATGTTGTGTGGCATCCTTGAGCTCCAGGGATCCGGAGCCAAGCCAGAATAATTAATTGTGCAATACCTTTATGAGTGGAAAACCTGCCTCCCCTCCCTTATATAACCGCAGAGCCCGGGGCGAGTCATCTCTTGCTGACTGTGGAGATGGATTGCACAGAGCAGCCTCCCAAGTTGCAGGACATGCCGTGCCTGAGCACGGGGCAAGGACACCCCCAGGTTGCCCTCCTTGAAGGACAGGGCATATTTGCAAGGCAATGCTTTGAAATGAGAGACACTTCCTCACTCCCACAATAGGAAGAGAAATGTTTTTAAACACCCATCCAAGCCCCAAACAAGAATTTCAACTGCCCCAGCAGGTCTAGCTGATTTTTCTACTTATTCCATGTTTCAGGCTCCTACAGTCATCTTCCATTCATCCTCCTTTCCCCGACTTCACACCAGGCGTCTGCCATCAAATATGGCAAGACAACCCACATCTACCAGGCGCAGTCACACAAACACACCCACACATGCTCCACAAGACACAACCAATGCACAACACAGGGCAGGAGTGAGCAACGCCCAGCACAAAGCAGGGGAGGGGTGGATGTCCTACCTGGGGCTGCAGGAGGTGAGCTGTGTCAGTGCCGCCAGGGTGGCAGTGGGATGCACCAGGTGCTCATGTGCCATCATCAGAGGTAGCCTGGCTGCCACAGGGCAGCAGAGGGACCTGTTGCAGAGTAAGCACTGTCTGGGAAAAGGGATCCGGGGTATTTTTGCATCTGAGGCCCAAACATCTGCCCACACAACCGCTTCCACTCTGTATTAACAGCACGGCCGCCAGCATAGCCCTTTACTCTGCTCCACGTCTTGCCTATAGCGTTGTCAAACATTCACTGTTGGTAACTGAACATTTTCTACCTTGTTCATCTGCCTCACACATGTATATACACCTCTGTTTGCCAAGATAATTCCAGCCACATCCAGAACAAGGCTAGTAACAAATCTATGCTTCTGCCTGTGCTAAAAACATGCTTGTAAATGGCCTGATCCCCCTGCCTTGGATTTGGGACTTGAAATATGATTGTGAAGCAGAGATGTAGGTAAGTGCTTTTGCCCACTG